GTCTCGGCGCTGCCACTCCCCAACTGTCTGACGTTGAACCAGTCACCTACTCTCTCTCTCAACCTTAGTTTCCTCACTCATAAAATGGATTAGTTATAGAACCTATCCAAGTTTTTTATTTTCCTCCCAGTGTTAAGGGGCTTGTGCCCCATTTGGCATTTTAGGGTTTAGGGGAAGCCTTTAACACTGGGACAGAACTCAGAAACTTGGAGTTCATAGATTCCTGCCCTAAATGTGGAGCCTCTGTATTGCTTTTACTATTTCAAAAATATCCAGCAAAGTCTCACAGGAGCTTTGGCAGAACACTGTTGCTTTCCTCTGAAAGTCCAGCAGCACCATGGGCCTCGATGACCCTGTTCTGATTGCTCTTAGCTTAATAGCAAGCAAGGCACATGAATTATCCCTTTAAAAGTACAATTTATGTGGGAGATATAAATCTTTCCAAATGGGCTGAGGTAGAAGGAGGGGGAGCATTGACAAGGGTGCCCTCCAAGGCAGCATAGACCAGGGGAGCCGGTCCCACAGGCCTCAGGCTGCTTTTATGAAGACCCAGATGTGGGCGGGCAGTGGCAGGCCTTGCTGGCTCAGGGTGAGCTGGGACTGATGGCAGGAGGCCCAGGCCACCCACCAGAAGGAGGCCCTGAGGCTGAGTGCCCTCAGGCCTGAATAGGGGTGTCTCAAGCTGCAGCCTCAGAGGCAAGAGATGATGGGAATGTCTGAAGTCCTCCCCAGTCCCCAATTTCCCAGCCCAGGCTGACTTTAGGGCCAAACCCTTTCCAATCTGTGGCCAGTAGGCTCCAAACATCAGCCCCTGGCCAGTTCTCTTTACAGTTGCTCCCTTTAAGTCTCCTATACAGCATGTATCTGCAAGTCCCACACTGTGCCCCTTCATCTGAGCTGCAAACAAATTTTCTGAAGCCTGGTGGGGCCAGGTGGCTATAGGGAATAACTGGTTCTCCAGAGGTGAGGGGCCTAGCCCAGAGCCAGAGCCCCATAGTCACTGTCTACAGGCCCTACTTGGGGGAGTTATAAATTCAGGCCAGGTGGTGTCTCAATGTCATGACAGTGAGAGCTGGGAGCATCATCAATAGGCAGGCAGGAGGACAGAAGCCAGGGAAGGGACAGGGAAGCACAGCTACACACACAGCATATGGCAGAGCCAGGAAAAGCCTCCTGCTCCAGGGTCTCACCTAAAACACCAGGCCCCTGCTCTAGCCCATCCCTGTTCTGTTGGACAGTGTCCGGGGACACTTAGCCCTTACTCACGAGCATCCTCCATCCAGCACAGTATCCATGGTGGCCAGACAGCTGCTCCTCAGTGCCATATTTTATCTTGGTGCAGGGAGTTTAGGGGTGTCAAGGAGACAGTGACACACCTCCCAGTGTCTGGCCTTTCTGCTAGTGGGGTGCTTCTAATAGCATTTCCAAAAATCACCCAGGTGGACCCTGTGACAGACTCATGGGTGTATAGGAAGGGCGAATCTCGATTAGAATCTGAGAGAACATGCCCATTCTGTCTTGAGCAAGTCACTCCTCCTCTTGGACCACAGTTATCTCATCTATGGAATGGGGGTGATGACTGGGGGGGGATTTCTTCAGGCCAATCCCTAGCTTCTCACCCAGAAGCACACCTCAACCATTCTGTCACCAGCCTTCACGCCCCCAAAAGTCTCTCTTCTTCCACCCATGCAGGGGCCACATTGGTGGGAACAAATCATTTTGTGTGTTAAACAGTCCCCCCCAAATTCTGACTGGATGACTTCTGATGCATCCCTAGACCCTCTTCCTGCAATGTTTAGAGACCCAGGTGGGCTGCAGGGACCGTTGGGCTGGGGGATTCAATAGGGTAGGTGGCTGGGGCAGTTGGTGGGAGCCAGAATTGTGGAGTCAGCACAGCCAGGCAAAGACATCAGGCAGGTCACATGAAAGGAAGGAACAGGGACAGACTGGCCAGGACAATTAGAATGGATGGGGAGGGCTGCCAGATCTACCAGGAGGGACAGAGGTGACTCTCAGGGCCTAGGCTAAGAGATCCAAAGGCACAGGGAAGCTATTTTTAACTCAGCTTAACATTCTCTACCTGGAAACCAGCTCCTGTCAGTGGGGTAGTGCTGTTCCCGGAATGGCTTCATCCCCTCAGACAGGCTGGACTCGCTCAGGTTCCGAGGCAGGCCTCTCCATTACATGGAGCCTGGCTTGCCCAGCTGGAGCCTGAGCCAGGGAAGGAGGGAAACCAGAGCCAGCAGGACACACAGCTCCCTGCTGACCCTGTGAGGCCAAGGCCCCTGCCCTGTCGTCATCCTCTTTTCACACCCAGAGGGATCTTGTCTCTGAGTCCATTTAATTCTTCTATTATGCTTCTCAGACTTGAAGCTTCTGGTTCCTATTGTCCTGGGCAGGCGTGTTGCATTTGTGCGAAGATTAGACAGGTCAGAATCCTGCCTCTGGCTCCCTGTGGTCTTTCTCTTTTACTTTCTCAAATCCCAGCTACGTCTTTCTCCTCTTCCTGGTTCTCCACAGTGTCTCCTCTCCCTACCTGTCTTTATCTGTCTCTCTGTTTCCCCCCCACCTTGACCTACTCCTTCTTCCACTGACCTGCTCTCTCTTCTCTCCCCTTCAGGCCTCTCCACCCCCTACACCTCCACACAAGACCCCCTTCATCATCTCTCAGAGCCTAATAGAATTGCTCATCTCATTCCAGTAATAGTCTTCTAAATACTTAGAAAGGCACGGTGTGGGGGAGTGAACCCTGAACAGGGAGTCCAGTCCATTGTGGTTTAGTGGTGAGATCAAGATTGGGGTTCCAGCAGAGGCTTTGTCATATGACAGCTGTGTGGCCAAGATGCATCCCCCCAACCTTCGCCTCCTGCCAACTGCTCCCTGAGCCTCCTTGTGGGCACTCTTGGAGCTGACACTAGAAGGGAGCAGTTGTATCCTGGGGCAGTGAGGAGTGGCAAATGCCTGAGTGCATAGTAGGTGCTCAAAAAATCGTGTTCCTTCCAGTGTTCCAGCCTATCACACCCCGCCCTGTCTCACCCTTTATTAGCTCTGCCATACTTGACCAAGATCTCTCTCTCTCTCTCTCTCGCTCTCGCACACACACACACACACACACACGTGCACACACGTGCACACACACACACACACACACACACACACACACACATACACCACACACAGGCTCTGGTCACCCTAGGAAGTCATACAATGGCCTATGTCTCTCCATTACCTGTTTCCCCTTCTATCAGCCTCTAATGTGGGAAGAGAAAATGCTTCATGTAGATAGGAAGAGATACTGGGTGGTCTGGGTTCTACAGTTCAGAGTCGGTGGTCCTAAGTCATTCCCTCTCCTTCAGCATTCACAGAGCCCTGATGATGTGCCCTGTGTACAGGGAAGGCCACAGGCCCTACCTGCTCTGGGGTTCTAGACCTTGAGAATTCGAGATAGACCCACCACTGTAAGTCAGGCAGTCCTAGAAATGCCAAGAACTCTGAGGGCCTTTCCCATGTGCCTGCAGGCAGGGTCCTAGAGAGGAGCTTCAGAAGTAGACTCTGTGCCAGGCCTGGGCAGGCACAGAGAGGCTGCCAGTGCCCCAAGCTGCTCATTCTCCTCACTTTGACCAGTACATTCCTGTTCTCCTCGCTTTCCTTCCTTCTTCTCTTCCTCCTTTTCCATTTATTATTATTATTATTATTATTATTATTATTATTTAGTAGTAGTAGTAACAGTAGTATATATATATA